AGACGATCAACAAGGAGAGAAAGAATGAACGCTATTGTAATTTAAATACCACTACTAAATTATTATTACGGTAGTAGGTATATATATATACAATATAATATTATTGTAAATATCTATACCCGGGTAATCGAGATGGTATATGGTGGTAGCGTGAAACCGATCAAGAAACGCAGGTTACAGTATTTCTCGAGCATCACTGAAACAGTGAATATGTCGCGACGATTTACACGCGTTCAATTGTACGTTCGATGCAAAACAGGGGACCTGTTAGCTTCGCGTTTCGTTTTCTACGGTTGGCCCGTGCCAATCTGCAGGAAGCTAGACGCGTACGCGCGAAGATAAATGGGAAAACGAATTTCAGTGACACGTGTGAAACAGAAATCTGCGAACGGGAATTCCCATTACAGCTAGACCGACGAGAGATCCCTCCGTTATTCAGCCATTTTCGCGCACAAACGGTCAGAAACAAGGAAGAGAAAAAGAGTCGATCGAATGGGGCATCTTTTCGATCGCACTTCGCGTAAAAAAAAAAAAAAAAAAAAAAAAAGAAAAAGAAAAAAGCAAACGTGTAGCAAGAAAATTGTAGCAAAGGATTCACGGAAATAAAGAAAGTAAGGGGATCTGGGAAACGCGAGATGCATCGTTGCGGGAAAGAACGATCGTTTAATCGGAGCTTGCACGTAGCTAAAACTGTATATCGTCGCAATGGCCGCGCACCTACAACACTTGATTTCGCAATCGGCGATCGTACATGCGATCTCGCTTAATCGTTCTCGCCGTCGTCGATTGCCCTTTCTTCGGTCGGGCGAGCGAGAATGGCCGATTTCGCGTTCTTTTTCCCCCCAGCCCCGCGTTCGTTTTTTTCGTTTATTCGAAACAAGATGTGTGTGTCGCGCGCGATCCGAACGACATCGATTCACTATATATCGGGTATAATAATTAGCATGGGTACGCTTTGTACGAGCTATTTTTCCTACGGACAGAAATCCTGTGTTTAGAATCGTTAACGCAACAGCCGTCGCACGTATTTGCAAGAAAAAGAAACTTTAAAAAGAAAAAAAAGAGAGAGTAAGAGAGTGAGTAAGTAATTAAGTAAAAGGTTGGCGTATATTATCGATTAGTTGATGGAGGATGTAATCGAATGGGCGAGAAACGTTGATACGTATTAATATTATCGCACAGGTCGTGCCTGAAGACAGAGAGAAAATAGAAGAAAACTGAGAGGGCTAGGCTTCGCCGAAAGTTAATGAAAAAAATCTTTTTTTAAAAAAAAAAAAAAAAA